CTATTAGTAAATAGTATTTATAAAGTATTATAATTTTATTAGCTATTCTTTAGTTATAAATAGAGAACTTATTAGAAGTAATAAGTTACTAGTTACTTCTATCTATAGAGAAGCTATAATAGTATAATAGAGGCTATATATCCTATAAGACTAGTATATTGCCTATTAGGACCTTAGTTAGTTTTGTTAGATAACGGTATCTCTCTTAGCTTAGTATATAAGTGTTTTGCCTAGGTGGCAAATTCCGTCGCAACATTACTGCCTTGCTTTCCTAACCCTCGCAGGTAAGTATCGAAAACTTCAGCTGCTCCTAGCACTGGTGGCTGCACCCCCGCATCAGCGAGTCCTTAGTCGCACTGCGTCGAATACCAGCCACCCAGTGAACTACCTACCAGTACCAAAATCGGGCCGGCTCCCCAGGACCCCGACCCCGACGGTGCGAATAGCAGGCCGTTGATCGCTGATTGTGATTGTGATTGTGGGCTGCGCTTGCTGGAGCTATCAGTAACTAATACCTGCTTGGCCATTGGCCCGCTTAACTCTACCATCTTCACAATCATCTCTCACGTCCCTGAAACAGAAAAATGAGTGCGGCGATGAAGAATCGCGCACGTCTTGTATGCGTTCAATGCCATGCGCGCAAGGTCCGTTGGTACAAACCCAGCGGTCATTACCATATCTGAACTTAACTCAATCCCAATTGGTACAGATCAAATGCGACTTGGAAGAAAACGGCGATATTGATAATACCTGTGCCTACTGCCGCAGACACAGTATAACCTGCATGTTCGTATTGCTCTCACATCCCCTTCAGCGAACCGGCGCCCCCCCTTTCACCCCCGCCAAAAGGTAAGAAGCCACATATGCTGAGTCAAAGCAGACCGCGTCAAGGTGTAAGAAAGCGCGGTGTCCCAAGTCTACGACGACCTCGAAAAGCGTCCCTGACCGGCTCGGCAAGTACCGACTTGCGAGCTGATCTACCCTATACGCTGTCAGAAACTTCCCCGAATATCTTACCTGACAGCGGCAATAACGCGGCATACATTGCGGAGCACTCTGTCCTCCAAGATAGCGACTATGATTGTCAGACCGATACGCCTACACCAGGCTTACCAGCCAGTCCAGGGGGTAGCGGCATCACACCCAGAGTCAAGCTCAGTGCGTTGCGAGCGACCGATGCCCATCGGCTACCGAAGCCGGCATTACGACAGGCCCTTTTTGATTCATTCTTCACAAATCTGAATTACTGCTTCCCAATAGTCAGTAGGTCCGATGTCGAGTCTCCAGGCTCGTCTGTCTTGCTGCAGCAGGCGGTTTGTCTTGCTGGTAGCTTGATGCGGCACCCAAGTCTACCAGACAGCTTTCCTAGAGCGCAAGCGATATACGAAAAGATCAAGATTCTGATTTGCGTCAATTTTGAACCAAATATGCTCACGGTCCTCAAAGCACTTACTTTTTTGACTCTCTGGAGCCCCAATCCGCCTCATATGGTAAGCTTAGATGGGCCGTGGCACGCAACTGGCACAGCCGTCCGTCTAGCTATTCAAATGGGCATGCACAAAGACTCTACATACGCCAATAAACCTGATCGCAAATGCCGCAGGAGGCTGTGGTGGCTGATTTTTGTAAGGACCTATCACTGGAATAAAATCCTAGTAACGCAGTTCCAGTGCTCGACTAACCCTTTGCCAAGGCTAGCGACTGCGTGCTAGCGCTCATTTATGGGCGTTTACCTGCCCTAAAACGGGACGACTTTGACGTTTCCCCGCTGTCCGAGGAAGACTTTGACGTCGTCGACATTCAATCGAGACAGTTCATTGCAGACATTTCATTGGCGCTGATAATGGGGGGACTGGCTCCCAAAATCTCGCGCAATATTACACCCGCGCAAGAGCAGATGCCAATCGCTGAGCTCCTTAGCGGCTGGATGATGGAGCTGCATCCAGATCTGAGCCTGTATGACGACAACGGCGACAGGCGAGCCCATTACTTTCCGGTAGCAGAGCTTCATATACAATATTTCGGAGCAGTCATTCTATCGCAGGCCATGCCGTCCAAATGTTCGAAGCAATGGGCCTGTTCAACTGCCTGCTTGATAGCGGCCAGCTGCATCGCAGAACTCTACGAGGAAATACTGTACAGGGAAGAAGTATGCTTATTGATAACGATGCATTCCTTCTGGTGTCTAACAGCCGCAATACCTCTAATTTACTACAAGCCAGAAAACGAGGAAATGGAAGTGCAACGCAAAGAAAGTCTTGGCGCATTGTGCTCGGTTATTGAACAGTTGAACCACAGATTTGGCATCGCCAAGACTGTAGCCAGGAAAATAAAAATTCTTCAGCGGGAGCGAGAAACTATTTTGGAACAGAGGATTACCGCACCCGGCGGACGTGATTTCGGCGAAGGCAGCGTCGACCACCAAACAACGTCCTCTTATCAGCTTACAGCTTTGTTTCCGCAGCTGCAAGCCTGGACAGCCCGACGGGAATCAGGACACCAGAATGCAATTCTGGATACCATAGCACAGACACGCGTCGACAACGAAGCTCACGGAGTCGAGCCGACCGTGCAATGGATTTCCGAAGCTCCTTTATCAGCTTTTGATGCACTTGGTGCACCTGGGTTTATGGATGACTTCCTTGGTACTGGATACCTTCATGATGGAATGGACTTTGAGCTGAGAGACATGGTATCTGTTGGTTCCATTTACATGTGAAATCGGAAACTCGTACGACACTTTAATTATTGCACTCATGAGCATTTTCTGCGTTTAGGTCCTGGAGGCAATGTACTGCTCGCTTCCTAGCATCGAATAGCGTTGATGTACGCCCTAATGCAACATTTCAGTGAGGCGACAAGCGATAGAAAAGTAAATTCAAGAGATATCCTGTCTGTGCTATGCTACACCGTGCTCAAAGCTGCGCAGCCTCACAGAACCTGACAAGTACCTTCACTGGCGCTGTTGTGAGAGTGTACTGATGCTTTGTCACCGTCTCCGTATCCAGGTTCTCAATCTTGCTGTACCGCTGGAGCAGTCTTACCACAACAAATCCGGCTTCCGTTAATGCAAACTGCTGCCCCAAGCAGATCCTTGGCCCGCCATTGAAGGGCAGATACTCCCATCCGTGTTTGCTGCCAATCCACCTCTGTGGTCGAAACTCGTCCGCGTCATCCCCCCAGATATCTTTTCGCCGGTGCATGACATTCACATTATAGATGACCTCTTCCCCCTTGCGAATGTAAACTGGTGCATTTCCATCCACACCACCTCCACGAGGTAGCATAGTGTTTCGCGTGGCTCGTCGGCTGTTCTCAGGCACCACAGGATGTAGGCGAAGGACTTCCGACAGAAGGTTTTGCAGATGACTGCACGCCTTGAGAGATTCAAAGGTAAGGGATGATGCGTGTTCTGAATATGGGCCAAACGTCTCAACAATAATTCTGTGGAACTTGGAGTAGTAGTCAGGATGGCGGGCTAGTAAGTAGAAGGTCCAGCCCAACAGTCCCGCAGTAGTATCTCGCCCTGCAAGCAAGATATTGAGGAGTTGGCCGCGTAGTGCCTTTGGATCCTTGGTAGATTTGACGAGCTCACGAAGAAAGACGAAGGCTTCCGTTTCCCCTTTGGAGTCAGGGCTACCGGAAACTTCCTGTTCTTCATTTAGCGCTTGCTGAACGAAATAGTCTGCAAATCGATGCACTGTATTGCAATCATCAGTGAAGGATTTAGGAGAATATAGAAAGTGGAAGTCCATGAGCATGCCCTTGAAACTGATGGTAGTGTTAGCTCTGTCGAACGCCCGTCCAAAGGATGACCAATCCTTGCTATCTCTGTTGGCTTTTGTCTCATGTTCACTAGACGTTGCTTTCGCCGCATTGGGGCTGTCCAATAACTGTGAATCAACGCTTTGTCCGAACAGGAACTCAGTCGCAGAATCAAGTGTGAGGTTGAAGAAAAGAGGGCCCAGGTCGATCGGGCTTGTCCAGGAACCGTCAGCACCGTGGTGGAATCGACCGAATAAATGCTGGATGTGGACTTCCTCTAACTCAAGGCTGGAGATTTGGTTTCTTGTAAACTGTGGACGTAAGAGTGCACGGTGATGCTGCCTTATGCACCATGAATGTCAGTAAAACATCGCGTTTGAGGGGATCAAAGTTTACTATATACCATTCTTTACCATTACTCGTGAAAATGCCATGCCCAAGGAGCGGACTGAGAGTATCGGTACGGAAAGGACCCATTTCGAAGTCTTTAAATTGCGTAGCAAGGATCGCTTTGATGTTTTCAGGGTCAACCGTAGTGTGGCACCAAAACCCAAGGAAATTCTGCACCCAGGTTGACGGACAGCCCATCTCTTGGTGAACGAGTTGGTCATCATTCTGCAGCTCCTGGTTTTTCGCGGCTTTGGCCATCCGAAGCACGTTGTCGAGACCAAGTGGGAGCTTGCTTCGCCGCACATGGGCAGGTTTGCACCCGAGTTTCCTTGCAAAAAGCCAGTGGTTTATCTCGATGCATACCCACCTAGCAAGGTAAAGGATAGCAGCACCGGCGAGAAAAGTAGAAATAGGCGAGAGAGTCATTGTGTTTGACTCAATAGCTCAAATGATAGAGCTTTACATGTGGAAGGTCTTGGCAGCTGTCCGGCGGCAGGATGCGGAAGTAAATATAGATGGGCTACTCTGCACTGATCTGGCCATCCATCCCCCTATCTTTTTCCACGGTCTTGTAACGCTATAGAGCGTGGCGATAAGTCGCATCTGGACCTCGGCGGGCCGGAGTCGGGGCTCCAGGACACCGAAAAGTAGTGGAGGCAAGGAAGTGGCACCAAGAAACTGGATAGACCTCCATTTCGATTGCCGTATAGATCTACGCTTTGGTTTGTGTGGGTTGTCACATCTCAACAACCCCGCGCAAGCTAATAAGCCGCAGCCTCCCCGCTGCCTTCGGCAGCGCCACCACGGTAGCAGAAATCCCGAGTGCCGAGTGCCGTGCCATCAGCTTAGCAACTGCACTAACTAGCAGGCAGGGGTTCTCCCTTAGTTAATTGTCAATGACTTACGTATCCACACACTCTCCAAGGTGTTTATTCTATGTGTATTTGTGGTATTTCTGTCGTTACTTTTTAGACAGTTAGCGATCCAAGTATAAAGATATCTAGGGGCGCTACCTACCGGCATGATACACCATCTTTGGAGTAGACGATACATATTGACCAGTATGAGCGCCATGGACATACCCAAAACTCAGAGAGCCTTGATCTACGATGCCCCGGGTACCATCTCAACAAAAGAGGTTGAGATTTCGGTGCCTGACCCTGGACCGGGAGAAGTTCTCATACGACTGTAAGTGAAACCTGATTTACTAAGCCAAGTGCCAACCTGATTAACATTTTGAGTCATAGAACGCATTCTGGTGTCTGCCATTCTGACTTGGGAGTCATGACGAATTCAGTAAGTTGTAGTTCAAGAATCCACTAGGTTAGCACACGAAAGTCACTACAGGGCCGACTGACAAATTTGTTAGTGGAGTAGCCTACCTCTACCAACTCCCGAAGGACAAATTGGCGGCCATGAAGGTGTTGGCAATGTCGTCAAACTAGGAGTTGGCGCTGAAGACTCAGGATTGACAATCGGAGACCGAGTTGGCATCAAATGGATATCGAGTGCTTGTGGCCACTGTCGTTCGTACCCCACCACCTCAGCAACCAATCACCGAGACTAGACTAATTTATGGAAGAGCCCTGCTTGGCTGGGGCTGACGGTCTTTGTTTCAACCAGAGAATCTCCGGATATTACACCCCAGGGACGTTTCAACAGTACGCGACAGGGCCGGCCCAATATGTAACGCGCATCCCAGATGGGCTTGACTCAGCACAGGCGGCACCGATGCTTTGTGCTGGAGTCACCGTCTTGTCGGCCCTGTAGCGAAGCCAAGCGCGAGCTGGCCAATGGGTTGTCATTACCGGGGCTGGCGGCGGCTTGGGACACCTCGCAGTGCAGCTGGCGAGCCGGGGCATGGGGATGCGGGTTGTCGGTGTTGACCATGCCAGCAAATCGAATCTGATACTGGACTCGGGAGCGGAGCACTTTGTTGATATAACAAAGTTTCCAAAAGACGACAATGGGGAAGCAATTTCCGCCCATGTCAAAGAAGTCTGTGATGGGCTTGGTGCTCACGCTGTCATTGTATGCACTTCCTCCAATGTGTCCTACACTCAAGGCCTCAGATTTTTGCGCTTCAACGGCCACATGGTTTGTGTTGGTATACCTCATGGCGATGCAGCCATTGCCTCCGCCAGCCCCGCGAGCATGATTGCAAATCAGTTCACTATATCGGGCTCGGCTGTCGGCAATCGTCAGCAGGCTATAGATACGCTGGACTTCGCTGCTAGGGGGGTAATAAAAAGCCACATTCGTCTTGCACAGATGAATGAGTTGCCGGGTGTATTTGAGGACATGGAGAAGGGTACTCTCCAAGGTCGTGTGGTATTAGAGCTATAACAGGCTTAGCACACAGATTTGAGCTCTGAGAGACTATGTTGATTTCGTTTTTTTTTTGAGTCTCAACTACTGGGCATAGTTTTATCAGTGCAGATTGTATAAGTCCATTCTAACAAGGCAACTATATTCAGGTAGCTGCTACAAGACTACGTCGTAATACCATATATAGCATGACGCCTTCATCCAATCACGTTAGTTTTAAATTGCAAGAAAAGGTCTATATCGTCATTAATCTTGTTTTGTAGCAACAATCCGCCTTTGTTGTCGACATGTAGGTATAGTCTATGTTGGGAAATAGTGCCTCGCCGATATATGAATGAGTGGATTGTGATACAGAACTAGCTGTTGCCTTCAAAGATCTCTGATGTCCGGAAACTGGAATTTCCCTGCCTTCAATTGCTCAATTGCACTCTCCACACCGGGCAATCCGATCTGATCCCCAATCTCCGAGTAGTTCGCCTGCCAAAGTCCGGGGCTTCCCTTCGGAAACTGAGAACGGAATCCAATCATTCGTTGCGCACGGAGCGACAACCCTTTGACGATTTCTTTTGGAGTAATGAGAGTATAAGCTTCCTCTGGCGTGAGGAATGAAGCTTGAAGGGGGAACGAAATGGCCCTGCGGTATTCCGAAGCCGTTTTGTTAGCACCACCCCCGTGAACCGTCTTGCCAAAGATCAGGCAAGCATCTCCAGCCTTCATTTCCGCGGGAATGGTGTCCTCGGGATTTCCAGGAACGGAAAAGTCAAGCCATTTGTGTGAACCGGGGATGACGCGAGTCGCGCCATTTTCTTCAGTGAAGTCAGTCAACGCGACCAGGAAATTGATGGTCGCTTCTGGTCCATTCGGTCCAAGTTGATCAAAAACCTGAAACTGGCCCTGGTCGCGGTGTAGAACTTGTTCCTTATTACCCGGTCCGATTTCAATGACCTGCGCGGTTGAAAGCCAGTAAGTGCCAGTTTGAGGATGAAAGATGCGCTCTGCGATATCATGACAGAGGTCGTGATCAAGCAGATAGTCCCGAAACGTCTTGCTGCAAGTCGTAAGACCTGTCAGGCGCTTGGTATTGACGCCATGGAAGCTCTTGATGCTGTCGGAGCTGTGTTTGGAACCAGGATCCAGGCTACTGAGTGGCTCATTGAGATCCTTGTTCATCTCTTTGACTTGATCCGGGCTCAGTAAGCCCTCAATAATCACACCGCCAGCTTCCTGTAGCGCAGAGAGAATGGCTATACTGCCCTCACTGGCCGCAACATGGGGTATAACCGATGGAGATTTCTGTGATACCATTTTGAAGTGTTGAAGAAATGTATTTGATAGAAATTTTACTCAAGAAGAATTCAAAAGGCTTTGGCGTCGAGGGAGGCAAAGCTGCCAGTTATCTCTGGCTAACTCAAGTCTGCAAGCAGCATGGAATGGACAGTCGTTCAGAAAGATATATATGAGAGACTCACGACAGTAGTTTGACGTGATGTCCCGTAAATGGGTAACTGTCCCTGAGCTGTGGTAACATGGCGGCGGCTAAGAATGCCTAGCTGCGTACCGCTTCGGCACTCGGCTTACGGCAGACAAGGATGCAGAAATGTACCGATGAAACCATAGTCTCTTGCCGAGTCCCAAAATATTTTGGCAAATTGCCGAATTTGATTTCAAAAAATAAATTACGCCTTGATGCAGGCCGAAGCGGCGAGTTCAATCAGTTACTGGCCGAAGCCGGTGGCCGAGTACTCGGCATCTGTCTACCTTGAACTTGGCTAGGTAGAAACCCTGGTAGAGGCTTTGCGCTATGAGTATTGCCCGATTCCACGCCCTTTTCCTTTCCAGTATTTATAAATACCAAAGGTAATACATTATTGCCTAAATCCAACAATTCAGTATTCCAAAACTACTCAACACTCTACTTCTGATTTTTCTCTTTTCCTTCAAAGCCCTACATGCTAGTCGCTGCTATTATTCTCAAAGAGCTATCATGGTACCAAAACACCCACGCCCCGCCACCGAACTTTTTAACATCCCTGGTCAGCCGGATGCAAAGCTTTACACTCATGCGTCCGCGAGTGAAGGCTCAAACCGATTGATCTTCCTAGCGGGCCAATGGGGCATGCGTAATGGAGTGTTTGCCTCAACACTAAAGCAGCAAGTCGAAGATTCCTTTACGAACTTGAGAGAAGCATTGAACGCAGCCAGCGCCAGCGCCCACGATGTTGTTAAACTCACGTTTTATGTGGTCGATTGGCCATGGACGGAAAAAGAAAGCTTGGTAGAACCTTGGCTGAAGCTTTTCGTGCAATGCAGCGACAATTACAGGCCACCTACAACTGTGATTCCCGTCTCTAAGCTGGCGCAACCCGAAGCAAAGTTTGAGGTTGAGGCAATCGCATCGATTGGTGGCCGCTCTAAACTGTTCAACTCGGAGCTACGACATACTGCGCAGCCAAACAATATGATCAATGTGGATGTTGTCATTGTTGGGGCAGGATTCAGTGGCACGCAAGCCGCCCATGATTTGTCCTCTGCTGGCTTCAATGTTGCGCTGCTCGAGGCCACTCATCGAGTCGGCGGGCGAAGCAAAACAGTGCGACTCGCCAGTGGACCAGGTGTGGCGGAACTGGGCGCAACTTGGATCAATCAGCACACGCAGCCAAAAATCTATGCCACAGTTAAGAGGTTGGGCCTTCACCCAGTACAGCAATACCTGGAAGGTGACGGAGTCTTGCAAGCCAACGATGGCAAGGTTTATCGCTTCGGCAGCAATGATCAAGTTGGAAACAGCCCTGGTGTAGGTAATCAGAGACCCTTTCAGTAACCACTTTGTGCTAATGCCTCCGTAAGCTGTCTAGCGAAGACGCGAAATCCTTCCAAGGACTGGTCGAAGCAATTGACCACGAGACCGAGAATAATGCATCCCTGGACATTAATAATACAGGTAGCTTTCCCGGCCAAGACGACGTGTCGGCGCTTGAGTGGGTGAAAAGAAAGAAGCTGGGTGACTTTTCTCTTCATGTAATACGAGGCATCACGACAGCGATGGTTGGAAGAGAGCCAAACGAGATCGGTATTCACTATTTGCTCGATTACATCAAGTCTGGGGGAGGCTTCACTAGCCTGACCAGCGATGACGAGAAGGGGTCTCAACAGATGTTTATCCGTGAAGGTAAGTCGACGACTTGCGCACGTGAAAAATGCGAATGGCAATTTAATGGGTTAAATCAAGGGACTTCGGCAATTGCGCATGGCCTCGCAGCTGAGCTTCGTCCTGGATCAGTAATTGTCAACTGCCCGGTTGATGAGATTCATCAACATGGCAAAGATGTCATTGTGACTACAGCAACAGGATATCAATTCTCAGCAAAGAAAGTGATTGTGGCTGTACCCACCAATACATACGGCAAAATTCAATTTACACCTCCGCTGCCAAACTCCAAGCGAGCTCTTGCCAGTGAGACCTTACCGGGTGTTTATGCTAAGGTCTTACTGACTTATGCCAGTCCTTGGTGGCGAGTGATCGGTCTCATGGGCAAGTTTCGCAGTCAGGTTGGCCCAATTTGTTTCTCCTGGGAAGTGTCCAACTTTGAGGACAAGTCGTTCACCCTGGCGCTGTTTATTGCAGGCGACAGAGCCACCCAGTGGTACGGACTGTCGCCTTTGAGGCGACAGCAAGCGGTCATTGAGCACTTGGCTGAGCTTGTCGGCCCAGACCATCGCCATCTGGCATTGGATGTGCTTGAATATAACGCTGGTGAATGGGTGGAGGAAGAGTGGATGGGTGGCGCGCCAACTTCTGCGATGCCTCCGGGCTACCTCTCCAAGTATGGCGAGGATTTGAGAGCTCCATTTAGGAATGTTCACTTTGCTGGTGGCGAAACTGCTAGAGAGTGGAAGGGTTACTTGGAGGGCGCTCTGCGTGCCGGCAGTCGGGCTGCGGATGAAGTGATCGAGCTGCTTGGGAAGCCTCAAAACAAATAGTCTAAACTTGAGGCACTTAATTCGCGTCCAAAGTAGTTAGCTGCAACGTCAATGCACTCATATTTACCTTCTCGGTCTAATGTGATGAAACACAAAAACATTGAAAGCTCCGATAGTGGTAGGCTTACCGGCACTGCAAGAGCCTCATCATCCTTCTACTTCTTAAGGTAGGAGGTTTGGGTCCGGTCACTATACAGTAGTGTATAATACGGGCATCTTATCGCAATCCAAGCGGGTCTTCCCCGCGTTGCTCTAAGTTTGCGCCTATCAGTTTCTGGGGTAGTGGTGATAACGTATCACAACTGCTGATGAGGACGGCACCACGAACATCGGCATTCGGCTATTATAGCGCAACAGATACTGGTGGCGCCTCTGATTAGGAAGTAGGTTCGGAATAGCTATTGAATTGTTTTATAAAAGAGATAACTGCCCTTACATAGAATAATGCTACAGCGCGTGTTACTTGCTTTGTTAAATGACCTGTGCTATTTGGTGCTCTTGCGCGAATCAACACTTTAGCAACAAATCACGACAATGGCGCAAATTATTCTGCAAAATGATGTCAAGGCATTTGTGTCTCATGATACAACGGTCGAAGATAAGTCCTCCACGGGAGGAGAACTAGGCATCAAACCGAAAGTCCACTTTAGTCTACTGGGCGCCATCGGTGTCCAATACTCGGTCACCAGTGCCCCCATTGCTATTGGCGCATACATGTCGCTAGCTATCGGCCTTGGTGGCTCCCCGGCATACTTTTGGGGTTTCTTTATGGTCGGACTTTTTCAATTACTCGTCTGCCTTGCTACTGCAGAGCTTGCCTCGGCGATTCCACATTGCTCTGGTATGTTGATCAAGCATCATAATACGAAGCTTCAAAATTACAGGACTGACCACACTCTTGAAAAAGGCCCGGCGTACTGGGCTATTGCCCTTGCAGACCGAAGATACGCCCGCAGCTTGGGATACATTATGGGATGGTTGACAAATGCTGGCTGGTTTTTCGTATCCTCAGCCTGCACCCTTTATCCAGCCCAGCTAACAATGGGGCTCGTCCAAGCGGCATACCCGGATTTTACTGCAAAATCATGGCAAACGTATCTGATTTACGTATGCTTTGCGTTACTGTACCTGTTCTTCAACCTTCCCCTCATCTTTCGGTCAGTTAATTTGTTGCTGCGAATTGTAGTCGTCGCCGTTAATGGGACGGCGATTTACCTCATGATCGCTCTCTTGGTACGCACCCAACACAAACAAACAGCACATTTCGTGTTTGCGGAGTTTACCAATGAATCAGGCTGGGCTTCCGACGGCCTTGTCTTCTTCCTTGCCCTACTACCTGCTGTTGGATGTCTCAGCGCCTTCGACAACGCCACACATTTAACCGATGAGCTGGAAAACCCCCAAAAACAAGTTCCCCAGGTTATTATAGGGTCATTTCTCATGAGCTACCTCACGACGATTCCTATGATTGTTGTATACCAATTTTGCAACATCGAACCAGAGAGTCTTCTAGCGGCACCTGGCAATCAGCCCTTCATCCAGCTCATGCAAAATGCATTTCGAAGCTTTGCCATGACTGCCCTTGGAACCAGTATGATTATATTCTGCTTCTTCATTGCTGGAACTGCGGCACTCATCAGCTGGTCCCGCCTCTACTGGTCTTTTTCTGCTCAAGGAGCATTGCCATTCTCGATCACAATGTCTAAGCTGTCCTCACGCGATGCACTACCCATCAATGCTCTCTGTTGGAACACTGTGCTAATTTGCGCGATTGGTGCTATAAGCATCGGATCTACAACTGCCATGAATGCGCTTCTCGGAGCCGCAAATTTGTGTCTCCTGTCCGCCTTTGCCATCGTTTTTGGACTGATGCTGTATCGTGGCCGCAAGGTGCTAGATCCGGAGCGATGGTTTAATCTGGGGCGATGGGGTGATCTCATAGTTTGGGCTTCGCTTATATGGGTCATTTTCATTTCTGTTATGTTTTGCTTTCCTCTGTATCTACCGGTTACTGCTGAGGTTATGAACTGGACATCGCTGGTCTTTGCTGGCGTGCTCATTTTAGCCGGGGCTTACTGGCTATGCGTCTATTCACGCAGAGGTATTGTTGGAGAATAAGATTTTTTGTGGGCGTAAATCGCTTCAATACAGGCGATCTGTTTACCAAGGCCAAAGTGCAGGAATAGTGTCAGGGTAGTGGCAAACTGAAAACAGTACTGGTGGCATTATAAGCAGCCATTTAGATGTGCAATTCTAGATCATGAGTTCCTATAAAATCAATACTGGCTACTAGCATCGCTTTTCCTTCTTCTCTTGCATATTGCAAAAGTGTTACATTAAGTCAACTCTATGTAATCTATATCACAGAGTACATCGTATGGACTGCGATTCAATGTCGCACACCCGCGTAGCACTTATAACATAGGACCTTCAGCATGTTACGATGAAGCCACGTAACCTATTCTGCAGTCATTGTGATGCGCAAGTATTTAACTAGGTAGGACGCCTTGCATGCGCTAACTACCGCCACTTTGACATTTGCCGCCTGGTTTCGGCGCCCGCTTCGGCGCCCACGCTTCACAATCGGTTCTCGGCACTCGGCTAATCTCAGCGACAGCGTAAGTTAAGGGTAACCGGATAAGTGAAAACCTATATCAAACCCTCGCAATTTTACGAAGTTTTTGCATCCACTCTAAGCATACTGCTCGATGTAAGCGGACCTCTCGAGCTATGGCGAAGTCTCTAGTCGGAAAGAATGCTGTGGTCACTGGCGGCTCACGTGGTATGTAGAGGCCGGGGCACCGCTCACGCAACCTTTATCAACTTTCACAATGAAAAAGGCCAAATTTTGAACTAATGTGTCAGGTATCGGTGCCGCTGTCGCCATCGAACTCGCTGCACGAGGAGCGTCAGTCTTGATCACCTACGTGTCGTCAGCTAGGGCGGCAGAAAGCATAGCCAGAAAAATCGAGAGCCAAAGTTCAGACGTCAGCGGGTTTGCGCTACAGGCAGACAGCTCTAAATCTATGGATGCGGCTGTCAGCGTGGCAGCCGAGTGCAGAAAACGATTTCCCGACGGCATTGACATAATAGTCAACAATGCAGCAGATGGTTCTGATGTAGACTTGAAGAACCTGACACCGCAAAATTTCGACAGCACCTTCCATACCAATTTGCTATTTCCTTTGCTTCTTGTGCAGCAGGTTCGGTCGCAAATTAGAAGGCAAGCAAGAATTGTCAACATTAGCTCTACGTCAGCACGGCGAGGTATGTGCAAAAAAGAAGATGTGTTGTAGTACTCGCTGATATGTTCGGCTAGGGTTTCCATCGGCAATAACATACGCCGCATCTAAAGCTGCCTTGGAAAGTGTCACAAGATCATTGGCGAAAGAACTCGGTAACGCCAATGCTCCTAAGTGATCTAAATCGGATGCTAAATGATTTCAGGTCGCGAGCTCGATTGCACTGTCAATGCGGTTAATCCCGGACCGGTTAATACTGATATGTAAGCTTTGCCTCATTAAATCGACTGGACTGCGTCTAACCGACTCGTGGCGAAATAGGTGGAACGAGACTGAGGGGCTCGAAATGAATGCCATTACACAAAGAATCGTCTCTGAGACGGCTGCGGCAGGACGCATTGGCGAGACAAGTGACATTGCACCAATAGTCGCCTTTTTATGCGAGGAACAGTCCAGGTGGATAACTGGAAGCGTTGTATGTGCGAATGGAGGATTAGTTATGGTATAGTTTATGTAGATCAGTAGGCAAGAACCTGAAAGCAAACTTTGATGAAGTATGAAAACACGGGGCAGAAATAAGCCAGGTTCTTAATATGTTGTCCGCTTATTAGTAAAGTCGAGGTAGATCTACGGTGTAAGTAAATAAAAAGAGGTGGGAAGCCGATGTTGTGGAATATGTGGCCGGTCTAGTGTATATGCGAACTTGTTATATAGTGATAGGGGCATTAGGTTGTGTATAATCACGACAGCGTGATGTGCCGTGGCTAAACAATCTACAGTAACAAAAGTGGCTTTCTTTACACTAGATTATATGAATATTACGTAGAATTCAGTTTGACAAGATTGTGTTATACTATTCTGGCTGGCAGATCATGTCTAGGGCGTCAGCAAGTTTAAACAGCGTGCTAGCGTTGTCGCCAGAGACGAGCAAAGGTGTGCCTTCCCATCTCGCTTAGCTTGAGCGCAGCGCAACAGGCTTCGCCCGTCAGCAGCTGTCCCTTTTCTGCGAACATCGTCTTGACGGCGCAACTTGATTTATTTTATGCTTGTATGACACTAAAAGCTGATCTCCCATTTAGTGCAACGGCGAACAGCCCTGCAACAGATGCGACTATAATCGCCACCGATGGGTATCAAAGAGCGACTTGCGCGCGGATTTGGGAATGCTTAGGTACGGTCTTAGGCAATATTTGGGGGGTTGCCAAGCCACAGCGGACCCAAGCCAAAGCAGCTCTACAATGAACGATGGTGCCGTAGTGCAGGGTTGTATTGACGGTATCCGCTCGCCTGATCTTGACAGTGGTCCTATGGTGCTGCTGGGAGGGGATTCAGTCGCATTAGCGTCAGATTCCATGCTGAGAGGGGCCGTGGTGACTGATCCATCTATGCAAACTGTTAAGCTATACGCTCAAAAAATGGGTAAAGGGAGCTGGCCGAGTTGTGCTCCGCAGGCACCCGCTCGTTGTGCCTTGGAGAGGCTGGCGCAAGTCAATCGGATGAGGGCAAAATCTTTCATAAGGTCGACGATGTCGTCGCCCTCTCCTTGTAGTGATGGCCTTACTCGACGCATTTACCACACACCTGCAGCCTTGAGAAATGGGAGGATTTGTAATTGGCCAGTTCCTGGCAGTTGTAACACTGATTTAAGCGTAGTTTCCGCTTGAAAACTGATGTTGCGCCAGACAGTCCCCCGCATAGAATTATCCTTTATGTAGAAATCTTGTCGCCTCGCTGGCTCTCTTGAAGTAGACCATTACAGAGTCATGCGGCTTCCGGAGCTATTCACTTAACCAAGTTACACTGATAATCTCTGTGATATTCTCATTGCCAAGAATCGCGATTAAATCCGGTAGTACTTTGCTTTGTTCGTCTGAAATGGCCGATCGGCTGACACCACGAATCGCGAATGGGGCAGTACTAAGTACTCGAGCACCCGGCGGCAGTTTCTCTATTCATATGCAACATCAACTTAATGTTGTAGTGATCTAAGAAAGCGAAACCAACTTATAGCTGTCTTCAGCATATATCCATCATCAATTCCCAGAATCAAGTCTATACCCATCTGAACGTGTACCTCACCCGGACAGACTACAAGCTCAACCGGCGACCTGGCAGACCCGCCAGCGCCCATGATCTTGCCGGCCTCTATTACCCCATCGCGGTACAGCTCGTCCCCGCCAACAAGAAGTAGAACTCGCTCTGCCCGAATGTCACTCCAAAACGTGGCATCGCCATGTGCAGCTCCAGCCCACACCTCAGGTAGCGGCTGCCAGTTCAATATGATATTCTTCAAAAACCAAACAGTCATGTAATCTTTGCCTGCATTCGTCGTGATACTTGCAAAGTTTGTCCTGTCACTTGTTCTTGGACTGGTAGCGATAGCACCAAGAAGCTTGCGACTCTCTGTGCCTGAGCCGCACACGGGCGTGATTCTTGGATGAGGCTCTCGGAGATGTGCGAGAAGGGCAAGTGTAAGGTTAGCACCTGCAGAATCGCCTCCAATGATGATGTCGGAAATTGGGTGACTCTGTAACAAAAGTCGTAAAGCAGCAGCAGCTTGAGCAAGCTGTGTCGGGTATCTGTGCTCGGGAGCCAGGGAGTATTCCAATATCGAGAGGGAGGCTCCAGCAGCGATAGCTTCTTTCAGTGGGAGCCCGAGGTGTTGGAATGGTAGGCAATACCCTCCACCATGGAAATATAGGTAAAATCTGCCGGGTTCTTTGGGCTCGCAGTCAATGAAATGAAGAGTGGCTGGCGGAAAATCACTCGAAACATCAATCTGCAAAGAAAGATGGTGTAGCCCTCTCGCTTCGCACTCGCGCGCGATTACCTGCCCGCTCGTACCGCCAATAAGAGCACGAGCTTGCGTTAGCGATAGAAGTGTGAATTGACGAGTGAATGCCCTTTGGAGGTTGCGTTTGACAGTCTTGAAGCTGATACATTTCTCAAGCCACGTTCGACGTAAAAAGTCGAACGTCCCTGCTACAATGATTATTGGCATGAGAATAGCAAACGATGCCATCTCACCGAGGGTGAGCGATGTCGAAACATGACTAGACATGATGAGAAGCAAGGGTATTCTGAGGTATGAAGCGCTGAAGATTGCAAAAGAGATCACTTAGTCAAGCCTAGGTAGAGGACAACAGACGGTGATTTATCATAAAATGGCTCATAAGTCTAGTTTTAACCACTACCTCGGGTTTTTTTCATTATCAAGCACTCTCGGCTGCATTAGCCCTGGTTAAGCTTTAAGATGCGCATACGCTTTAGCTGAACACACGCATGCATCTGGTATGTGGATACGCAGCGGCTTAAACTGAAAATATGCATGCATCTGATAGCGGCTTAAGCTGAAAACACACTCCTGTCGCTTGTTATGAGGTTGCGGAAGGAAATTGCGGAAATCAAGCGTGGGCGACAGTTGTCTCATTATCGAGATGTCCTTGAAGATCCATAGGAATTGCTCAACGTGCAGACTATTAGGGCAGATAAGTTCTGTGGGCATCCAATCAATTCAGGAACTCTTACCTCTAGACACCACATTTGAGAATTCACAAAATGGCTGTCGATAAAGTATTTCTGCAAAGGCTGCAGGACAAATTCCCGAATGATGCATGATTTGTCTGCGCAGGAATTGTCCTACAAGCCAACGATCAGATGGACATTATTGCCGAGTTGTGGAACGCAGTAAAGGACAACACACCTAGCCCAAATGCACAAGTTATCAAGGCGAGGAAGTTGCGCGAAGCTTTCTTGAAAACCAGCGTTCTCGTCGGATTCCCAAAGGTACGTTCGATTCTCACTTCCCAAGTCGTGTGCGTACAAGCATCAGGGAATTAATGCGTGCACAGCGTTGCGCAACGCTCTCAAAGAGACTTCGCCAGAGGTAGAGGAACTGGACAAGGATAAGTCCCTTCGCCAATAACTCCAACGCGAGGAGAAAGATGCTCGTGGTTTAGAGTTCTTCTCCAAGGTCTACGCCTAGCACACTGATAGAGTACTTCGCAACATGTCCCTAGCTTCCGGTGGTGATCTGGCCGAGTTTGCCAACAATGCGATTTATGGGGACTTGATGGCTGAAGAGTCGCGATTGAGCGCCAAGGAAACAGGTCTTCTAGTGGGCGCGCTACAGCCTTGGAAAAGGCTTACGTTCGTAGGTAAAAATAGCAAGGCCCTTATTTCATAGTCACCAATCAGTTTTAATCCTTGACCCTAATCCGTGGTAGGTGTCAATCGTAGCCGTTCTGTCGGTTGATCGACCACCACTAGTTCCTAAACCATGGATCTTCGAGAAGTTGCTTCGCCGTCTTTCTGTCCTCTGGACGCCATTGCAGCATCCCCCGTATAAAGTTCAAGAATTTCTCTTTGCTGCTTCCTTCAAGGTTTTCTTCAGAAGCCTCTAGGCTCAGCCCTTCTGGGATCGGGATTCCTGCCTTCCATTGCCCTATGAGCAAGGTGTTAGCATGGGAAATGTTTGATATGATGGAAATGCCACTTGCCATCTTCTGTGAAAAATTCTGAGCTCCGAGCACCCCTCTGAAGTAAATCCAGGGGTGGCGGTCCGAGCATCCCTATAACCTCCGCCAGATGCGCCCGAGTCAAGTAGCCTTCCCCGCTAGGGTCATTACCATAGAAGAGGTGCTTTCCCTCAAAGAGATCCCAGATCTGCTAAGTTAGTAAACCTGAGGATATTGAATTAAAAACCTAACGTGAACATACCATGACGCCAACATTCCAGATGTCTACGGGATAACCCCAACGCACCTTAAGCATGACTTCTGGTGATCTATACACATTCGGCTGAGCGTCGTGATTCCTTCTCTCGTCACCACGAACCGCGGCGCCGAAATCACTTAAGATAACGTTACCAAGCTCTCGGGGTAAGCCAAACTTCCGAGATAGGTATATCGGAAACCCGTTGATATATTTTCGCGGTGTAGGCGTTTCAAGCTCAGCCTGGGTAAAAGCATCAAAGAGCTGCTTGTCTACTAGCTCCGAGTGAATATTGTCGGCTTTGATGTCTACGGATGAGTGGTTAGCAGACTATCAACTCTTTGGGAGTCGTCAAGGTGAACACAGCGCTTACCTGTGTGGACAACTTTACACTCTGCGTGCAGATAGTCTAGCCCAAGTAGAAGCTCCCAGAGTCCTGCCTTAAGGAGGTCTTCAGTGAATCGGTTCGTCGGGTTCCGACGTAGTAGGTCTCTCCAGCTATCCCAAAGAGGGGTTTGGACAAGACAGTAATGTTGTTTGCCTGCTGGACTCTGGAGTGCGAACTTGTCTAAGGCTGATCGCACATGGCGGCGGCCCGGGTGTGAGGATTTCACTTTCCTAATTATCTCATAGATATCGAACTCATCTTGGTGCGTATTGTCTGAAGTATACATTTTGAGTGTTACATGTTTATGGCTCCTAATAATGATAATTAGCTTCTTATTTCGCTGTTTTAGAAGGTAAATAGCGATAAGATACTAACTCAAGGTCACGAGCTAGCCATACTGTAGAGGTCGATCCAAATCCTAGCTTGCCTAGCACCTGGTATTTAGAGGCGTATACGTGCCCAATTTGGACCGGAAAGTATTTGCCTTCCTTGAATTCGTCGAACTGTTCCTCTTCAAGCAACGCTAACTCAGGGATAATGTCGAACCCTGTAGTAGGAAATCGCAGCGGCTGGAGAGGCGTCTTACGCGTCAAGTGTTGCGCCCACCTTAATATAGACGCCATTTCGATGACCTGAGAGTCTCCGCGGCCCTAACCGTCCGCGGAATAGTTAGCTAGTGATTGTGTTCACGAAGATAAATGATGGGAAGATTAACTAGCACTTAATGTCGTCACTGCTAACTATAGTGGGAACAATACCGATTATGTAAGATAGGTCTGTTAAAAGTACTAGTCACGTGCTAGGTTACTGGAGGCCTTGGGATTAATTGACAGGACCGATGGAGGTCCAAGAGCTACCAAAGGAAATCTACAGGTATTTCAGCTAAGGTATTCTTCTATAGCCTTCCACCGTCATTTTCAGCCTACTAGATCCTTTCCCTGACCATCGTAGCGTTAAGGGTGGTATACTAGCTTGCCGCTGGTATACCCTTTGAGGTAGCCAATAATAGGGCCGTGAACCTAGCTCGGCAATAATATGACGATGTCTACATATATTTATTCAGGAGAGAACACCTATAGTAGCCCTTTAAAACGTACTAATCAGGACAAGAAAGGTTACTAACAGGTCGGCGGTTACAAAGGCAGTTCGAGATAAGAAGACGGCGCTAAATCAGCTAATATCATTAGCCTAGTTGTAGATTATAGTGGACTATCTCTTCTCCCACGTAAGCGCCCGAGATTATGTTTCCACTGATTGGATACTATGCTATAAGTGTGAAGGACCCGTTCTGCTCAATTGGTCTTATATCGACGATCGTTCGATTAAACGCTTTTATAATAATAAAGGATAGTAATAATAAAACAGCAGAAGTGCGGCTTCTTTAGGTATAAAGTAGATAGGAGTCGCTGTTACCTATGCTGCCCTTTTTTTTTACCTGTAGCTTCCTCTTCAGAGTTGCTAACGCCTATTCCTCACCTGACGCTTGTTAATTCAGCCACCTTATTCAAAGCTATGTCTCGCTTCTTTACTACCTCTGCCCGGTCTCTCGTTCGTTTCCTTGGGTTTAAAGTTGAAAACCTGCCGGGACCTTTCAAAGATGCTGCCACTACCTTCCTAGCCCCAGGTGGAAGTGCAGAGCAGGTAGGCTACGCTAGCCTCTTAGGCTTTTTTATAGAATTTCTACATTTAACTAAGCTATATCGAAATAGAAACTTGGCAAGCTAAAAGAAGTATATATTAAGTGAGTTAATGCCTAGTATTATATTAGATGGTCTAGCTAACTCTACTAAGGTCAAGGAATGGAAACCCCATTCATCAATCCCACTTCAACCCTGATGATAAGGAGTTTATCATAAGTGCAAGGATCGTTGGGTCCAGAGACACCAAGACGTGCCATATTTATGAAGATGGTACAGGTACTATCAAGAAAGGTGATGATCGGAAGTAGCGGAGTATTTTAAGGGCACAGTACCTTCGGACGTGCTGGCCGCCCCTCCCTCCCAAGAGATCCCAATCATGCAATGAATTGTTATACTCTATATATAACTTTTCCTCCGTACGATCGCTATTCTCCATTCTGGACCACTATTGATGTCAGGCCTTCCCTGGACCTCCTTAAATTATATAGCCGCATCCACTCGTCTACGCTCTGTATTTGAATATAGTAGTAGGGCCACCGCCGTGATAGCTACCGAAGCCGCCACCGTTTCCGTGATGCCCTCCCCCACCGATCCCTTGCCTGCCGCCGCCGCCCCTTGGACCCATGCCTATACCCATGCCATCACCACCTCCCGGTCGCCGTCCCCCGCTAAACAGACTGCCGAGGCCGCCACCGAGGCTTCTATACTAGGACTTTCCGACCAGCTTTTACTAACCACGTAGTACGTGCGCCTCGTTGTAGGGAAAGATAGTATCGATTATTCTTTTGACCGATTTCATGTAGATTATTTACATAGTGATGAGCTTCAGCTTGTTTATTACGATTTCAATATCGGCAAGTGCCTCGACGCGCAGCCTTTGCGCCTTTCAGTCTGTAACCAGTCGCTCACAACTCTTCTGTCCTCACGAGATGACCGCTTGCATTCCAGCCTGCCTGCTATACTTCAGTAGCTACCATATCCTCCTCTTCTCACGATGGTGTTGAAAAAGAAACAGCAACACGCTGCTAGGGGACTGATGGAAATAATGGTCCTTTGCTAATACTGGCAAAACAAGTCTAAGTACTAGTAGTGGTTCTGAAGTAGAGCGATCCATAGCTTCTGCTTGCCTGTCTATGCGCCTCATGTGCTTGGAGTGTTTTCGGAATTCGTTGTCAGGTCTCATGCTTATTTTTCGTAGCCTGGAGGTGATTTTTTGCAAGCCTTAATTCAGCAGCCATTTACTGCGGCCAGTGCCTCGGCGATTTTATTATGGTCGTGTCTTAACCCCGCCATAGCAACTGCCCCGCACGCAACATTTACATACCAAAAATCAGCAAAATCAGTAGAAAGTCAAGCATGGCCGAGTCAGAGCCAGCCAGCGATGACTACATCATTGACTGTGTCAAGAAAATGGATTCACTCGGCCTGGACGACTACGGCTTCAACCTGACGCGCACACACTACGAGGACGAGGCGCTCTGGCAGACGTTTCGCAAGCAATTTGACGTTGCGCTGGAAAGGGGTCTAGAGAGCGCGCCAGAAGAATGCGCGGATGCTATAAAGAGGCTCGACAATAAGATTCTCACGCGCTTTCTTGACGATCTGGACTTTGCGCGTCAGGGCCCAGAAGGTGTATCGGCGGCGTTTCAGATATTTTGCCTCGACCAAGATTCTGAAGATGAGGTAGAGGAAGAGGAAGAGGAAGAGGAAGAGGACGAAGACGATGCAGAGGACGACAACAAACCGTGGTCGCATGAAATGGGACCGGGCATTATAAGGAGCATGTGTCTCATGGTGGACGAGGCGAGTATGCGCTCGTTCGAAACCGAACCGTACGTCATTGCCGTGGATGCGCTGTTGCACACGGGTGCGGACCTTGGGTACCCAGGATACTTTAAAGTCGCGATTGACAGTCTGATGCCCAAATTTTACGCGGCTGTTGGTCACTTTGACTTGGACAAGGTGGCTGCTGCGGTGGACGAGGATGGCATCTGGCGGGGGATGAACAGACATGTCAAATCACAAAAATAAGCAGCATACCTTTGATAAAGAGTTTCGACGTGCCAGCTTACATTCTTCGCCATGATTATGTGACTAATATCCCGGTACCACTCTAGCAATTACATGTAGTCCATCCGCCGGCTTAATCGTCACGCCGCCCTTGACCTTGAGCTTATCCGGATCCATGAGTGTCTTGTCCACAAGCTCAAACTCAAAACGTCCAACCAGCGCCGCCAACAAGCACGCAAACTCGCCTTTTGCAAACGCGGCACCGATACAGCTCCGCGGGCCGTGCAGAAACGTCGCCAGCGCGTAGTTGCTGTTGGATCCGCCGGTATTGTTCAGCGTAACGCCACCGTCGTCGCTTGTCCGGGCGTCGAGCCAGCGATCTGGGTTAAAGTCTTCGGCATCGTCGCCCCAGAGCGTCTTGTCGACATTGATGGCCCACTGCGGAATGGTGACTGACGTGCCGCGCGCGACGGGCACGCCCAGCACCGAGGTATCCTGCATGGCGACGCGGCCCGTTACTGGCACCGATGGATAGCGCCGCAGCGTCTCGTTGACGACGGCGTTGAGGTACGGCAGGCGGTCAAAGTCGACGCTCGTGAGCGCGGCACCTGCGTCGTCGACCGAGGGCAGGTGCGCGCGCACTTCAGCACGCAGCCGCGTCTGCATGGCTGGCTTCAAGCACAGGGCGTAGATGGCCCATGTCAGCGATACGGACGTTGTCTCGTGGCCGGCCGCGAAAAACGTCATGAGCTGGTTTTGCAGGCCCACGTCGGTAAACTGTCCGCTCTCGAGCGCAATCGAGAGAATATCCACGTCGGGTTGGGCCGTCTTGTCCTGTTTTTGCGCCTGCAGCTTGGCGCGCTTCTCTTCAATGAGCTCCTGGCACACGCTGCGGATAGCGCGCATCGCGTCGCGGAATTGGCGAATGCGCTTTATGGGGAGCTCCTCAATCAGCCACTGCGGCAGCACGAGCCCAAGCACGAGAAACACGCGGAGCAGGGACTGCCCCTCAAAGACGCTGGTGTACTGGGCGACGAGGGGATTCTCGGGGTCGCGAATGGCGGAAAAGTCGCGCCCCATGGCGGCCATACCGATGATGTCGAGCGTGGCGAGCGACGCCCAGTGCGAGACGTGCAGCTGGCCCTCGCGGCCGTGGACCGACTTGGTCATGGCCTGGGCGACCTCGCGTGACTTGTCCCAGAAGACGGGGTATAGATCCTTGATGTGGCGAAAGTTGAAAGCGGGCAGCATGTGGCGGCGCTGGCGGCGGTGCTCGTCGCCCTCGGAGGTGACGAGACCGACGCCCGTGACGGTGCTGAGCGCATCGCGCACGACGCCGGGCTTTTCCCAGACGTAGCTGTTGGTGACGGTGATTTCGGCCACGGCTTTGGGGGAGATGGCGAGGAGACGCTCCTGGTTGAAGAGCATGAAGAAGCGCAGTAGGCCATCGTGGTCTACATTTTTGTTCCTGTGAGCCGAGTCAGCCCGGCCGGCCATGTTCGGGGAAACGATGTCGTCTAAATCGCCTACTTACCATGTCCTTGAGCATTCGCCTGGAGGGGCGCTAAAGAGTACGGGAAAGTGGCCCAGGAGCCAATGCCGTCCTCCGGCTGTGGGAAGGTTTCGTGTCGGAGAGACATAGAAGGGATAGATGAAGGTAAAGTAAAGGCCGCAGACGGCAAGATTGGCAAGCCAAAACAGCCCGAATGACAGAACGAGCGACGAGAGCTTCAGATTGGTCGTGGCCGCTGCATCCCGGCCATACAAGCGCAGTGCAAGAGTCTCAAGCGCCGCCAGGACTGTTACCAACGGCCATGACAGACGCCTCGGAAGGCCCAGTGTTTGCGACATGTCGGCGATTTCTTTTGATAAGTTTAACGTCCAGCGACCGTAACAGACTTGCAGATGCAATTGAGCATGTCTCATGGAGTTGTCCGCAGTTATAGACTACTGAGCAGTTAGCCGACTTTGGCGGAGCCTCGGTGGAACAAGCCCGTCAGTGACTACGGTCAGTGGTAGTGGAGAAGGGATCATGGCATTGAAGTAGTGATCACACTAACATTTCTGGAGTTTCAGCCGTTTTAGAGGCTAGTATAGGCGCATGGTGGCCCAGAACAGCCTACTAAAGTACTTGCGCGGCGGCCTTTGCCTGACGGGTTTTCTCACCGGGTTAACGCGCAGGCAGAATGGATTGCGGCGCCAGGAACTAGCTATCCCGGTGTTGTGTTTCTTTTAGCCTGCCGATTGGCTTTGCGACGCGCGGCTTCCTCACAGACGGCAATGCGGTTCACACACCCAAGGCCATGTCAATGACGACGGTTCAGATGCCTGGGGGAATAAGTTGCCTAGTCTCCACTGTCGTCGGTGCTGGGGTCATGAAAAGCTGCAATTTATTAATCAGATGGCCATGAGAGACTCTGAACGGCAATGGGGAAACGAGGCGAAAAGGTCAACATTAAACATGAGAAGCAAGGCAAGCATGAAGAATCAATCACCCGTTTGCAAAATTGGCGAGCATTTATTTTGTATTGTTTCTCGGTTCTCGGTTGTTGATGCGGCGACTTGGACTCTCCTTCTACGGATGAGGCCCGTTGATGAGACCACACCACAGAAGTTGAGCTTGTGGACGCGCCCCGCAGGCGCGTTTTAGGGCAGAAACGCCAAAAACATATCCAAGACACCACTACTTGATTCCGTTCATCCCATTATTAGTTACTCCGATATTATGCGGTAGGGAACAGTAGAAAACGCGTCACCAGCGCTGCCTCAGACGTGCCCCAAGTAGGCCGATTGAGCGGCGACGGGCGGGAAGACTGTTTCCGTTGCCGTGTCTGATTCTTTTTACCGAGTATCAGACACTAACATATTTCTTTGGGCATCTTACCGCCGGCTGTTAACATCTTGTCGGCCTGTCGGGGTGGAGTGCGGGCGGCCCAGGATCAATCCCAGATCTTTCAGAAAGGTCCCAAAATTCAACCAGTGCTCAAATGCTCAACTGCAATACTGATTGTTCACGACGCCACGGCGCCACGAAAGATTCCCCATGGTCCTGAGCAAGTGCAGATTCACTATCAGGCGCTCCATTATAAGTAGAAACAAGGGCTTCTAAAAGAAGACGGTTCATTTGAAAATTTTCTCTGGTCAAGGACAGCACGTACAAACCCCAAAATGAGAAATTTCAGCTGCGTCCATACCCTACAGCTGATTTGTTCTAACACCTACTCGGCTGGCATCAGAGGAGGGCATATCGGAAAATCTTTCATCTATATCATAGGGTACGCCATACCTTATATTTCTAGAATAGAAAGATAGTAGAATAAACCGTAATAAATTTATATAAATTCTTAAAGCACACGCTAAATAGCATAACGCCTACGCCACTAAATGCCACTAACGCTAGTAATACGCCACGGTATAACGTCTCTATAAGCCCTAACCTATTAGAAGGCCCGTAGAGATTAATCACACATAATAATATCCTAGTACACACTTACCCCTTCACTAAGAGTAGTAGCCTAATATAATAGTAGTCTATATAACTAGTAACTAAAAAATAATAGTAATAACTAAATATAAACCACTTTATACCTCTAATGACCTAGAACTAAGATATTAATAACACTCTTATAAATACTAAAGTACTTATTATAAAAGCCTAGAAATAACTTAATATACACGCTAGTATTCTACGTATATACTTATAGGTAATTATAAAATATACTAAGTAGTTTTCTTCTAGATATAGAAAACACTTTATATAGCACCTCCACTTAATAATCCTATAATACTAGTCAACTACCTCCTATAGTAATATCTTACTAGCCTCTAACTATATTGTTATGTTAGATAGCGTAGAGAAAACCCCGTGTATAGTACTACTTAAGAAAATAATAACCTTTACTAGTATTATACGCGCCGCTAATAAGATATAACCTAGAAATTATAAAATTACGCCTAAAGATACCTTAAAATATAAAATATAAGTACTAAGGAATAATAAGAGGGTTCTAATCTATCTTTATAAGGATTTAGAATTCTTTAATAAATTACTATAGATTTAACTAGTAATATATAATAAGCTATATTTATAACTAGTAGACCTCCTAGATATAAAAGAAACTAATATAGGGTTTACCTTAACCCTTCTAACTATAGTAATCTAGTAAAAGATTCTTTAGAACTAGTAACTTTAAGGTCCCTTAGTTAGGCTTAAGGTCACGGAAAAGGATATTAAATAGTATATATACCTTATTAAGAACTTCCTATAGATAATTATATTATAAGATAATATAAAACTTAACTATAAGTAAACTATTAAAGAAGCTATTAAGGAATAAACTAGATTTTACCCTATCTAATAGAGAAGTACTAAAACTAATAATCTTATAACTATATTAATTATCTATTTTAACTAACCCTTAAAGAGCTACTTCTATCTCCTTAGCCTTAGCGACCTCTCTTTCTAGCTTATAAAACCCTTATGCCTTATCTTATATAATATATACTAGTTATTCTACATACCTATATAATACTAGAAACTAAAAGTCTACGGAAACTATAAAAGCTATACCTATAACTAGGAAAGCTATTAAGCTAATACTAGATATATAGGCTACTATAGCTTATATAATATAGGCTTACTAGAATACTTTACCCTCCTAAAACACACTACCTATAGTACCTATACACTTTCTAAGATAGAATATAACTATATTATCTAGTAAGGTAAAGCTATATATAAGTGATAGGAGCTCTTATAATAATAGCCTAAGCTAAATAAAATTATAAGCAGCCTAACTAAGGACTAGGATATAGGTGATGTTAAGATAACTAAGGTAGAAGCCCCTAAATCTATTAAGCTAGAATTATAGTATATTATAGTAGAGAGACCTAATATAGATAACCTAGTAGAAATTAATTTTATAGAGGAAACTATAGGTATAATAGTAGAAGTAGAGAGGGACGCTGTTATAAAGGGAAGTAAAGGAGAGAAAAAAGTAATAGGAGAAGAATAAGAAAAAATAGAAGAAGGGGGGATTAAGGAGGATAGTATAGAAGAAGAGGAAGAAGGGGAAGAAGAAAAGGAAGAGGAAGAAGAGGAAGAAGAAGAAGAGGAAGGGGAAGAAGAAAAAGAAGATAATAATAAAGATAAAGTAAATTATAGATATATAAAGGAAGATATAAACATAGGAGAAGATACCTTACTTCCTTCTCTCCTACCTCCCTCTTCCCCTCCTATATAACTATCCACCTTAACTACATAGAACCTTAAACCTACTCTATAACCCCTAGCCGTAGAAATACCCTTATTTATTATAATAAAATAGCCTTTTATAAAGATAGCTATACTAAGATAAGTATAGGTAAACCCTATAGAACCCTTAAGCGACGTGATTATTATCATACACTTACCACTATCTTTACCTATATAATAGTCACTACTAAAGAAAATAAGATATACTTATCTATAGTCTAATATCTAGAAATAATAAACCTATTTTACTCTGCCTATTCTAAATAAATATTAATAAGTATAAATCTACACACTATATAGCCCTTTAGCTAATATATAAAAAAGACTATAATATAGTTTTACTATAGGAGCTATACTTATTATATAATAAGAAGAAAGACACCTACTAAGTACTAGACTATCCTAGCTTTACCTACTTCTTACTAGTCTTATACTAAAACTCTTAGGTAATACGCCTATAGGTGCTTACTTACGTCTAAAAATATTATAGAATATAACCTAAATAACTTACTATAGTTATATCCTGTGACCTACTATAGGTGGTTATTAATAACACTACTATCCTTAATATCTATAATAACCCCTAAGTAACTAAAACTATTATAGCTATTATATAGTAGAACGTCCTTATAGATATTATTATTATAGGTAATATAAACACCTACTACCCTTACTAGAGAATAGACTAACTAAGCTTAAGATATAATATAAAACTCGCTAAGTAGGTAGAAGAGTAAGGGCTTCTCCTCCTAAATAAACCTAATATAGATATAACCTAGTTAACGCCTTATTAATATATAACTATAATAAACCTAGTATTCTCTAATATTAACTAAGCTACTACGGTTATAGAGGAATATCTTATAATAGGCTTACTATATTATATAGTATATATTAAAGTACTAGTAGTAGAAGCTCCCTAGTAGATTATAAATAGATATAAAATAGTATTAGGTAATAAAATAGAAGATTTTATTACTTATATATAAAAAGCATTTACCTTACTTTAGCTATTACTTAATAGCTATAAGAATATTAAATAAATAACGTCCTTACTTATAGATATTATTAAGATAGTAATCTAAACATATAGCTATTATTAAAATAACTATAAGGCTAGTAAAAACCCCTAGTAAAATAAGGAATATATAAATATACTACTAGATTTCTAGGTACTCTAGCGTATAACTAAGAATCTAATAAGGGAGGAGACATAATATATATATATCTATTTTAAATAAATAGTTTATTAGGTTAAGTAAGACTTCTAGCGTAGGATTATTATAAGTATTATAGTACTAGATAATATTTATAAAGTTATATATTAGCTTAAGCCTTAGCAGTAGATATCCCTACCCCCTATTTAGGTTAATAAGTAGATCTTCTTAACTAATAAAGATAAAGCTTAAGCCCTTAGCTAGGCTAAACTTATATAGCACTTAGCTAGTAATAATATTACTAACCCTTAGTCTATATCTATTATACTAGAAATCTTAATTCCCTTTAACTAAAAAATCTCTTATAAAAAGACCTAATTTAGGCTCCTTAGTACTAGTAATACCTCCCCTAGCACTAATAGTATTATAGTATATATACTTTAGAAACTTTAGCTAATAGTAAGCCACCTTATTATAGATATCTATAATATATACCTATAGTATAGCTACTACCTATACGCTTAGTATATAGCTAAGGTAGTAATAATCTTAAAGTAAAATAAATATAACCTTACTAATCTAAGGACGTAGTGACTAATCTCTCTACTCTCTTACCTAGGTAAAGGTATAGAATAGATTATTACTAAGTAGATATCATACCTTACTATTAAATATAAGATACTACACCTAAATTAAGCTAGCGCCCTACCCTAATAAAGTACTATAGATATTACTACTACGCTTATATATAATATTAAGTAAGTATAATATAGAATAACTAAAAGAGTTACTACGCTAGTAATAATAGATATAAAAGGAGTATTTAATATTATTTTATAAAATAGACTTATACTCTAGCTATATAGATAAGGCTAGCTAATCTTCTTTATCTACTAACTTATAATATTCCTTATAAGTAGGTTAGTAAACGTTTACTTTAAAGATACTATTATAGAAGCTCTAGAGCTCCTATATAGTATTCTATAAAGCTCCCCTCTCTCGCTAATCCTCTACCTACTAGTAATAGTAGTGCTATATAAGCTCCTAGGCGCTATATAATAATATAAATACACTAATAATACCACTATACTTTTTATTAGAGAGACACTAGATAAGACTACCACATAAGTAAACGCTATAATTATAGTAATAGAAGAGTAGGGATAAAGTAAAGGCTTTACCTTTAATATTAATAAGATAGAAGTAATACACTTTATAAACTAGAAATAAAGTAGTCTACTACCTATCTAATATAAGAATTAGATAGTCTAACTAAAACTAGTAATATAATAACTTAATATCTAGTTTAATATATGCCTTAACTTTAATATCTATATATTAAAGTAGGTAGTAAAAGCTAAAAGCGTTATATATCACTTATAAAGTATAAGTAACACTATTCACAATATCTTAGCTACTATAGCACGTAGAGCCATATAGGTAGTAGTTATACTAACACTCTTCTATAAAGTAGATATCTAGTATCTAGAAGTAGAAAGAGTATTAAAAGGATATCTTATAATTATTTAAAAGACACTAATAATAGCTTATTAGATAATTTTACCCTTATAGAAAATAACAATAAAGACTATACTATAGAAGAAAGCTAGTATCCTGCTAGTAAAACTACTACTAGAGTAGATTATAGCACGTAATATAAACCACTAGGCACACTTAGACACCTACTACCTACTTATCTACCGCCTTCTATAGTAAAAATATAAAATCTAGTATACTACTAACCTAAATATAGTTATAGTATAATAAATAGCTATAAAAGGCGTTAGGCTCTTCTATAATACCGCTCTAACACTAGTAATAGAGCGTCTACGCCTAATCCCCTAGTACTTCTCTAATACTATTTAAATAGAAAGTAAAGGGAGCCACCTAATAAAAGAATATTAGATTAAGTAAATATAAGCCTAGAGTAAGACCTAGACTAGATTAGTAGTCTATAGTAATAACTCTAAAACTAAAAAAGATATAGTAAGATAAGGGTATACTATCTATTAATAGTAGTGACTTATTATATAAGGTTATAGATAGATTAGTAAAGGCGAAGTATTTAACGCTAAGATTAGAGGCGCCCTAAAGGGCCTTTACACTATAATTACGTAATAACGTTAAAAGGAAAAGATTATAATCTATATTAATAATACCTTAGTTATTAACTATATTAGCTTAATAATACCACTATTATTATAAATAGTATTCTATATATTTTAAAAGATAGGTAATATAAACCTAGATATAATCTATATATATTAGTGCCTAGGTTATACTAAAATTAAAAGTAATAAGCTAGTTAACTAGCTTACTAAGGAAGGTACTAAGATACCTATAAGAGAGAACCCTCTTATAATATCTTACTTTAAGCGTTATATATATAGTCTTCTTACTAATATATTTTAGTAATAGTAAGATATAGTTAACTATAAAAGCTATTATAGGCTATAATTTAAAGTAAAGCTAAAGAAGTACCTTAAGCTAATACTTTAATAATAGTAGCTAAGATATCTCCTAGCTATAAGGACTTACTATAGAGACTTTACTAACTACTATAAGCGCTTTAAGTATAAAGACACTAAACTTAATTACCTATATAGGCGCTAGAAGTCTTTAACCTACCTCTTCTACTATAAGAAGATCCCTTATAGCCTTAGACCTTAACTTATACCTAAGCCTAAAGCTATAATATAGAAATACCTAGGTAGATCCTTCTAGACCTATATAAAGCTTACTAACTTCTATTATATAAAGATTAATAAATAATACTAAGGAATAAAAGATACTCTTAGCTAATAACTAAGAGATAAACTAACCACCTAAGTAGTGTATACTACTTATAAATCCCTAATTATTTTATTTATTATGTAGTAATATGTGTTAAAGCCCCTAAGGTATAGAAATAAAGCTATAAATAGTATAGGTAACTCTCTGCTAATAGAAGCCACCTATAGTAAAAACTACTAATTAAGAAGAAGTAGTTCTATCTTAATTAGTATATAGCTACTACTATAGGAGGATGTTTAGGTTAAGAAGCTAGTATGATTAGCCCTTAGTAAGAACGTAGGCACGCCCCTGGACACGCCCCGTCATGCTAACTGAAACGGCGGCACGTTTATCTGTAGAGCATAGCTAGCACGTCTCTTTGCTTACACTAGAGCTACACCATAGACGTTAAATAAAAAGCAAAGCAAAAGCTACTCGGCTGGCATTTAAAGCGAGCCGAGTAGCACAATCACAATCAATGGGTAGACCGAGCTTCTTGAGTACCTCTGGCGCTTTTCTCTTCTTGATGCACGCACCGGGTGTCGAGAACTCGACATCTGATCACACAGCCAGTCTGTTCAAAACGAGTTGAACGCATTCCAGGACGGTGAAATGCCCTAGTTATTTTCAGTTTGCATAACATCGCGCAACCTCGCACACCTGTGCCTGTGCTACTAAAAAGACTTTTCGCAATTCCATCCATAAGTTACAAGCGAAAAAAAGAAAAAAAAAAAAAAAAAAACATGTCAACATTACACAAGCTTCAAAACGACTCCGTCGCGTCGTCTTGTGGACAATGATTAGATGCCAATCTGACACAAGGCGCACACTACACGAACCATAGGTCCCTATGAAAGTCCAACAATCAAAAAGAACATTGGTGATCTCTTCTTTATATAGAAACGTCGAGCCGCAAGACAATGCGCCGTCCTTGATACCGAAACTGCAAAAATGAAATTTCGAAAAGAAAAACAGTCAAGGCCAATTACCTCGCGACTGCTTGCCCTCAGACAGGTTCGAACTGCCGACCCCAGGATTTCTCAATCTAAGATTGAGTCACAGAGATAAACTCGTATGAGACCTATGTCATAACCAACTAGACCATGAAGGCTATTGTTGTGACGGGGGTGGGTAAATTGTACCTATATGGGCTTCGCTGCTGTGTGTGGAGCGCGCCTATGGGTACATGAATTTGGCACCCCATCAGCTCAGTCTCAAGTGAACCAACAACCAAAACTCTTACAAAAAATGACTTGGAATTTTCAAGTCTCCTCCCTATTCGAGATCGTAATTCGGAGATGTTGACTTCCAACGCGGTAGAGGGGCCGCTGTTGACCGCCGACCACTACCTGGCTGGCCGTTGTGGCGCCGTGGCCGCCGACCTACCTACCTACCTAGGTACCTACCATGCTACCTAGCTAAATTTCCAGCTTCACCTCTGCAGTGCAACCAAACGCGATTTGTGACTGGCAACAACAAATTCCCATACATCAATCTTGCCACTGCGCTTCTAATTTTACACTGCTGGATATCAAACTACCGTCCAAAATTGATGCTTCACCACCCCCTCACCACCGCCTCACCTACGCATCCGTGACGCGACTGGCTTCACAACACGGCCCCCAGCATGCTGGCTTCGCGCCGGCGGTGCTTCACAACCAGACACACGCAGGAATCCGAGAGCAATTCGATAGACGATTAAATGCAAGACGAACGGCCCGGGCCCGCAAAGCCCACGCGCGGTGGCGCCTTCGTCGTGCGGCAACATGACCGCAAGCCGCTCTTTGGCAACGCGACAAAACAAACAACAGCGCAACCCCTCGAAACTAGAATACCCGCTCTCACACGGTCGAAAACAAGTCCTAGCACCCAGCCAAAGCCTGCTGGCCCAAGTAATCCCCCCACAACGCCGGGCGGCTCCCGTATACCGCGCTTTGGCAGCGGCGGCTTCGGCAGCAGAAAGCCCATGTCGCTGTCCGACGCGTACAAGCTCGCGGCCGAGGAGGAGGACAGCGGCGCCCGACCAGGCCCAATCGACGGCTCCCCTAGCCCGGCACCGCGATCCTGGCGCACGCAATCGGGCAACGACGGCAAGGCGCGCGGGGCTCTCAACGAGGATCCCCTAGATGGCAAAGGTGCCGTCTCGCCGAACAAGGAGCGCATCGCGTTGCGCAATCGCGTCGACGACGGCATCGGAAAGTCGAGAACAAGTCGCTGGGTGCTGGAGGAGGGCATGCGCGATGCAGACGCTCCGCTGCCACCCACTGAAAATGTTGCCCCGGGGTTCAAGGCATCGCCGGAGAAGAGCTACGCCTGGCAGGTAGACGAGGACTTTACCGCGGGTGACTTGCAAGTCTCGGATAGCCCACGCATACGAGTCAACAAGCCGCCAACTACAAAATCACAATTCGAATCGCCGCGCAAAGGCAGCACGCCCAACACCAAGCTCGACGAGATACGGGCCCGCGAGCTGGGGCTGACGCCCAATGTGGCCAGTGCGAGGAAACTTACAAAACCCAATGATAATCCATCATGGGAAAAGGAGCCTGAAAAGCAAGCTCCATTGCTAGAGCGTGGGTTCTCGCGCACAAGAGGTGGGCTCACTAAGCTAGACAACATCAAACAGCTAGAGACGCAAGGGCTGTCGAAGAGGGCGATGGCACAAGTCAAACTTGAAGAGATCAAAGAATACAACGCCATGACGAGATCTGTTTCACCTGATGCCCCACACAGACAATGGATAGGCCGTGAAGCGGCAGGCATCCCACGCTCCAAGTCGGCATTCGAGCCTGCAGGAAGGCAAGTCCCCGACACACCAGTCACTATTTACAAATCAGAAGCGGAAAGAGTTGCCGACGACGTGCGTCGGGCAGCCGCAAAGAAAGCCGAGGAAAAGCGCAAAGAAGCAGAACAAAGAAGTATGGCAACCATACCTCAAAACCGCGCTGCAAACAGGCTCTCGCCAGACAAGCGTGACAAGTCACGCGACTTGTTGCGCAAACTGGCCCGGGCTACTGGCGCCAGTCCTGCAGCTCCCGACCGACGACCTGACGACAATCCAGGCGCGAATGCTTCTGCCCCTCCTATGAAGCCCGAGGCGCCCCGCGCCAGCTCTCTCAAACGGTCGGCCCTTGCCGACAGCAGTCGCCGACGGACATCCATCACGTCATCCAACGCCGCCAAAAGCGTCTCTTCCATGGACCGGCCGACAGTCGGCTTTGCTGGGCTCGCGCGCTCCCGGTCCAGCGACTCGCGCAAGAGCAAACGCTCTAGCGTGCACTCGGAGCAGGACCCGACGGATAGGATCGAGGCTGAGGAGCAGCTGTTTGCGCCGCTCGACAACTACTCAGAGCCCGGATCGGTGCGCGCGCCCTCGCCGAGGATCGAAGACGATGCGACGCCCAAGCCGGTCACCAAGCATCAAGTATTGTCGATGCCTACGCCTCGCGCGCCAGGCGCGTTTGTGGACACGCCTATCACGATCAAGAAAGAGGATCGGGAGGAGCTACGACCCAGCAGCAGACGCAGAGTGAGCTTGGAGGAGTCGCCAGACATCAAAACAGACAATGCACCTCGCAACAGCAAGAGGGACCTGGCGTGGCGTAGCAAAGACGTCGACACGGCGTCGGACCCCGGTGCCGCCGAAGAAAAGCCCACCCGGCCGGCGCGTTCGCGGAGCCTGCCTAGAAGGCGGCCCCTCACCAACTCGGCCAAGCTACCCTCAGTGCGCGATGACATGCACGAGCTGCAGCAGCTAAACAATATCGACGACGGGACCCTGGATCAATTGGAAGATATTCTACAGGGGAAAAAGACGACAAGCGAGAAGCTGGATGAGCTACTCAAGGAACTGCCGGCAGTGGCGGATGCGGTGGGCAAGATTAAAAGCGAACCGGAAAGCAGCAGCGTGGACGAGAATCGCCTGGATGACGAGCTGTCACACTATGAAGCGCTGAGCGCGTCTGTTGAGCGCGATCTCGGGGTGCACGACATCGGGAAGACGAAACCGGGTGTGCCGTCGAGAACACAAAAATCCCAACAAGGCGACGCGCCTACAAAGAAAGAGCATCAGCTCGACGACAACCAGATTCAAGTCGAGAAGCAGCGCAAAAACGACGAGCAGCTCGACGATACGCAGCCGAAAGTTGAGAAGCAGCTCACAGTCGATGAGCAGCTCAACAGAAAGCGTACCGAAACCGAAAAGTTGCCGAAACACGAAAAGCACACCGAAACCGAGACGCACGCCATGGACGAAAATCATGGCAAAGACTGTCCGCTGTGCGCAGCCCAACCCGCCACCCGCGCCATTGCGTATCTACACTTTCCCCTTCCACGCCTCTTCAACCTCATGCCCCGTCCTCGCCTTACCCTCCTCGGACTCTTTCTCTGTCTCTCGGCGCTCTGGTTCGCCGCCGAGACGGCCATGTGCGAAATCTACTGCCGCCCGGCCACGTGCTCCGCTCTGGAACCGTGTGTGTGGTCCTTTGACGACCCTGCTGGGTTCGGCACCGCGCTCCCCGTCAAGCTTGATCAGTGGACGACGGGCGGTTGGGGCGCCGCGGCGTGGACTGTTTTGCGAGACGACGTCGCAGACGTGCTGGACATGATGCGTGGTGTCGACGCGGCCGACGTGGAGCGGATGACGCCGGCGCAGAGGAGACGATATAGGAGACGCGTGGCGAGGAAGATGGATAGCAAGACTGGCTGGGGGCAGGAGCAACGGGAAAAGGCGGATGCGTGGCGGAGAGAAAGGATGGGGATGGAGAGGGGCATTTTAGATGAGGGAAGTGTGGGAGGGGATGAGCGCGTGTGGTAGTGAAAAGAGCGCATAAGGATTTTGTAGGAAAGGCATCGTGGGCGTGGATTGCATAGGTCAGGGTTGGTTCATTGTCATTTTCAAAAGAAGAAAGGGAATCGTTTGGTGGATTGCATAAGAAAGGAGGGATTTTGATTTTACATTCTGGATTAGCAGTGGCGTTTACGGCCTGGACAAGCGAAAGGTGAACCAGGCATGGATTTATGACTGTTTGTTTCGCGTCTTGTCCATGCAATGCTGTGTATATTATGTACTCTGTTTCTAAGAGATGCATCGCTTTTGAACTTGACTGTGTTTCGTCTACTTGTCGATACTGTCTGGCAATCCGTCAGCCTCATCCAAACAGAGACATGAACACGAATTGAAATACGCTCATCTCCTTTTGATTCATGTAATGCTGCATATTGTGTGTGCATCCGTTTTTAAAGCGCCAAACTCCGAAATGCAGGTTCTGCCATTTAATCCTCGAACCCTCCCCATCCATCCTCCTCTTCTTCCTCTTGCTCATCCTCCTCCATACTCTCTTCCTTGCTCCCCCACGGCAGCCTCGCATCCTCATAGCTCTCCTTTGCCCGCTCCCGCACCGACTTGACCCCATTCCTCCTCAACTCCTCCACCATGTCCCCCATCTTCCTCACCAGCCCCTGCATCTCCCCGTCCTCTTCTGCCGCCTCTCCCAGCACACCTTCCTTCTGCAGCTCGTCCACCCAGAGATCCAGCACATGCAGCCTCAAACCCAGCGGCAGCTGCCCCAGCCCCGAGCTGCCGCCCTCGCCATCAAACACGTATTCTCTACATATCCCCTCCACCACGTCTCTCTCCTCCGCCCCGCCTTCCTTTGCGTACCGCACCATGGCGGCAAATACGCGTCGCACCAGCAGCAGGAACTTGTCCAGCCGGAGCGCCTCGATGCCGGTCCATTGCGCGCCGAGAACGTGCCAGAAACCACGCAGCCACGGCCCCGCGCAGTGCGCAGAGCGTAGCGAGAACAGCAGAGAGGCGAGGGAGGTGGCGAGGGCTTGTTGGGGTTTAGGTCGGTCGGTCATCCAGAGGGCATAGTAAAGACCGGTCCATAGTTTGCAGGCTTCGGAGAAGGAGAGGGTGCGACGGGAGGCGAGAAATGCGGTGAGGGCCTCGAGGGAGGATGTGCGCAGTTTGCGATCTGTGGTTTGGGAGATTAGTTAGTGATGCTGGGAGGGAAAATGCAAGAGACGAACCGCTGGAGGCGAGATTTTTTATAAAAGGCATTTGAGCCGCTTCTTGCCCTGCGCGCGCGGCCATTGCTGCGGTTGAGGGTGTGGAATTGGGGATCTTTGACAAGTCGTGGTGTTACAGCTGGCGGTGGTTCAACTTTTTTTTTTGCAGATGGAAAAAAAAAATCAAGGTGAGCTGTCGGTCAGGTCCACTTATCTTAGAGTGGCTGTTGGTGAAGATGTCACTGGTAGTAGTAAAGAGCACGTTCTTTACTCGGCTGGATTACGATTTTTGGTTTGATGTTTTATCGCTTCTTTCTCGTAGCTATAAAATACTTGTGTATTCAGAAAATAACTATATCTAACATGTCTGCGTGGCTGTAGCGATCGGACGGTCGGCGGCGAGGCTGGTCGGGTGCCTGCAGGGGTGTCAGCAACGACGCAGGAATAGCTCAGGTAGCGAAACTGTCTATGTGCGCCGAAAGAATTACCTATGCAGATAAATGTAGATAGGTTTACGTGCTCTCAAACGGCTCTCGAGGCTCTTCTTAACAGTAAGGCATTGCCGGAGGGCCTAAAGGAAGAGACAGTAATATCCTTCAGCCGTCCTCGAACCGTCGTTCCGCGTGATGGGAGTTGTGCATATTTGTTCAAGACATATATCCATCTATTCCGAGCAATCCTTGTAAATTAGATATTTTAGTCGTCTCCAACTTTTCTTACAGCGTGCTTGACGCGCGTATTATGAGCCCCCTGCTGTCTCGACCATATCGTGCAACATCACCCAGGCGCCCACATCAAACGCCACATCTATTCCCGCCCTCTGCTGCCTTGATTCTTGTAAATATTCATAAATGTCTGGCCATTGCCCTCACCCTCATGGCAGACACGAAACCTTATATCACCACGCCAACATCCATAACCTTACACGCACATTAGGCCCAGCGCCCTAGCCTCTCGACCCCGCCACCCCACCACCGTTTGCCCATCCACTTCTCTCATCGTCATACCTACTACCTTGCACCTCCATCACAACCCAGCCCAACTCACCACTTCACCATGTCTTCCACGCGTCGCATCACAAAGGTAAATCTCGACCTCCATTTTCTCACCATTCTCCTCCATATGTTATCCTGTTACCTCTATTATACCTAGTTCTCTGCTAACAGCTCAGGAATACGGCGAACTCACCCAGTCCCCGCCCGAGGGCTACCACATCGCCCTCGGGCCCAACGACTCACTTCACACTTGGCACGTCACGCTCTCCGCCCCCAAAGAGAGCGTCTATCACCCGGGCCGGTACGGCATTGTGCTCAATCTTCCCACAGAGTACCCGTTCAAAGCGCCCGTTGTCAAGTTCACCACCCGCATCTACCACCCAAACGTCACAAACGACTCCCTTGGCAACATCTGCCTCGGTCTGCTCAAGACGGAGAATTGGAAGCCCAGCACAAAAATATCCGCCGTACTCGACGCGCTTCGCAACTTGTTGGTTGAGCCCCTACCCGATGACCCCCTTGAGGACCGCATCGCGGAGCAGTACAGGAATGATCGCGAAGGCTTCGAAAAGGCCGCCAAGGGCTTCGTGGAAAAGTACGCCATGGGAGATCCTACGTTCCCCGCGGGGCCATGATGCCGAATCAAGACAAGAAACGTCACGTACAGTATATAGCAATAAATCGTAATCTATTATGGGTATCGCCATTCATCCCCTATTCAAACAAAAGATAACACCGTCGGGCCGTCTATACTGGCATGTGCCAAACAAATAAAAGTATATAGTCGTCATCATACAGATGTACTCGGTACACCAGATAAAAATATGTACCAGAAATAGCTGCATCAAACTTCGGGCTTGGCATGCCTCTTCTTGCCAAACAGAGTCGCCCGCCTCACCACCGACACCGTCTCCGTCTCCGTCACGTTGCCGTTTTGCATCGTCTGGCTGTGCTGAATCTGCTCACGGTCCTTTTTCGCCTTGTCACGTCGCTCGCGTCGCTTGTCGTCGATGGCGTCCTGGTTCAAGTGGTTGAAGCCATTGCGTTTCTTGAACGATTGCTCCATCAGCAAGTTGGCATCCAGCATCTTTCGCGGTAGCGCCTGCACTACGCCAAACATTTCCATCGGGTCCGAAATGGATTTAATCTCGGCCTCGCCATGCTTAAAAATAGCCAGGGCCACTCGAAACAGTGTCTTGGACCCTTCGTAGAAGAAGACGTCCCAAACGCGCAGCGTCGTTTCAATCGGCAAGGTGCCAATAAAACAGCTCATGAACCACGCCGTCATGCACAAAGTTATGGGAGGTAGACGTTCTGTTGAAAGACTGGGGTGGCCGCGATGACGCGACCTGCCAAGCGGGCGCCGGAACAGACGGCTTGGCGGCGGTTTGAAGTTGGTCTGCTCCTCCAACTCACCACCAATTCGATCCCACACCTCGGGCATAGTGTCGCGAATCTCGGCCATTAGCACACCCAGATCCACCTTGGAGCCTTCCAAACTCATCTCATGCGTGCCGGGAAGATAAACGTGTGTAATGACGTTGAGTAGCCAAAAGCATTGCTCTTCCGTCTCGACGAATAAAAGCAACAGACCGGCCAGAAAATTTAGGCTCTGGCAGTATCCGATGCGGGGGTTATAAATAGAAAATGCGTGTAAAACGCGGCGCAAAGAAGTAATAATAGGTGGCTCGCCGGGTACAGCTTGAGCGCTGCATGCGCTCGACGTTTCGTCGCTGGTCAGTGTCGACTGGCTCTGACGCTCGCTGCTCGAGGCCGAGGCCGAGGCGTCGAATCCGGCCGGCGAGGGCTTGAATTGAATATTGTCAGGAAAAGTACGATGCAAGTCTCGTTCAATAGCATCAATGTCAATCTGCTTTGCATGAGCGCAAAGCAGTTTTTCGTAGAGTCCGGAATGCTTGGATAGAATGGCGGGCCCGCCGGCGTAGTAGAACCAGGCGGCGCCGCGCCAATCCGGGGGGATGCCCTTGCGGACAAATCGCTTTGTCTTTGCATTGGGTGGCGGGAATCGAATCGGGCGGTCGGTCAGTAAAGCATGATCCTTGAGATAAGCTACCCATTTGCGGCGCCGGCGGCTCAAGTATTGCGAGTAGTTTTTATTCCAATCGTCGTACTGCTGACGAGTGATGGTCTGACTCTGCTTCTTGAAGCCATATCGATCGCGCGAGCCAGGCTCTTCAGTCTCGGCATAAGACGGCACGGGAGCTGGAGGCGGCGTGGGGGAAATAGAGTTTGGTTGTGAGAACGTGTCGGAAATGGGGGAGACTGGTAGGGTTTCTTTGAATTCAGACGTAGCTGGACGAGACGTCACAGAGGGATCCGTGCCAATCGACTTGGCCGAGTCTCTCTTGTGAAGGGGTTCTTCCTCCTTGATTGTCATATTGTCGCCAGCAATGGCAGGAAGCATTGATGTAAAGGCTGGGCTGGAGAAGAGCATTTTGGATTGGCGGATTTCCGCGTCCAAAGCGGATGGGGCAGCGCGGGCCGCAACGCGGGGAGGTTGAGAGCTCTCAGCTTGTTCGAAACGAGCGACGGCTGGGCCTGTTTCTGACAGGGTGGTGAGCTGTCGAGAGATGCGAGGCAAGCCGTCCGAGTCAGTGGCGTCGTCTTCGTTGTCCGTGTCATCTTTGAAACCATTCTCGTACATGAGCATGACATCCTCGATGCTAAACTCGTCGGCCTCAGCGTCTGCATTAGCGTAGAGGGAGCTGACGGAGCTGTCTTTGGTCATGACACTGCTGCGCTCGGTCGCAGTGGTGCCGGGGGCTGTGGAGGTTGTAAGCTGGGACCTGAAACTGGACCGCATCTCGTCTCCACCCGCCCAAGGAGCGCCGACAGGCCCTGGAGGCGCCGAAACAGACGAGTCTACACGATTATAAGTAGCAAAAGGCGGCCTGCTAGATGTCGAGGTAGGCGCCGTGATAGGCGAGCCGTTGGTAGAGTGGGGAGCGGCGCAAAGGCGAGGCGACGGAGGGGCGGACCAGTCATAGACGTTGGCGAGTGGCGGAGACGCAAATGTATATGTCGAGTTTACCGATGCGTTGGACTGGGCACGAGAGCGAGGATTGTGCCATGGCGAGCCGACGAAACTGTGGTTGAGCTGCGGTGAAGGCTCTTTCGGTGTGGCGGGTTTCTGCTGTAGCGGTAGCTTAATGCTCGGTTTTCGGGGCCTGGAAAAGTTGCCGACGGAGCCAGATGATTGTCGCATGTCGGCATTGGACGACTTGGCAGAGAGGATCGGTTTGGGAGATGGCAGAGGTTCTTCGAGAGGTATGCGAGGAAACTCTTCAAAGGCGGGCGAAAGAGGCGGCCTGAGCTGTTCTGGGGCGTCGTAAAAAACATCTTTGGGGAAAGAGTCTGCTGTTGGACTGACAGCCATCAAGTGAGGGCCATTCTGAAGCGAGTCCCAACGAGGCAGAACTGGCGCGACCTGGGGAAGCGGCGGAGATTCGACAGGACCGCGGACGTCAACGGGCTTGATTCGGTTGGCGTAGACAGAAAACTGTCTGTTTTTGGCCGGCTTGGCGTCAGATTGGCCATTGTCGACGGGTGAGACGGCCATTTCGGTCATGCTGAGAGCCCAGCTCCGTCTGGATACCGGGCTCGAGTGGCAAAGAGTAAAGAGGCCCGCCGGGATCTCGGCAAGCTACTGGCTATGTCGACGTTGCTATAGTGGCATTGTAGGTGGTGTGATGAACGTCGGCCGCGGGACGTCGAGGTGGACGATTCTTTGCAGGGCGGGGGCAGAGCAGGCGAGGTAGCGCAATGCACAATGCAGCCAGAATACAGCCAGGAGACAACGCAGAGGCAAATCGGTAGCCGACTCGGACGGCAGATATGTAGCGGAATGACGGGTGCGTTGTTGGCTTGGTGGTAGTCGGAGGACGGGAATGCAGCGTGGTTGGGACGGTAAAGGAGGGCCGGCTCGAGGGATGTCGTGGGGAAGCGAGCTGCAGAAATGTTGCGGCAAGAGTATTTTGATTAGGCAAACGCCATTGACGAGGATGCAAAGGAGAAGCCGCCGGGGTTTGTCGTTGGGAGGTTTGGCCCTTTTGGATAGCCAGGAGGTCAGACGGAACGGCAACCACCAGGCAAACAGTGAGGAGGACAAGCAAAGAAAAAAGACGAGTGTGGAGAGAAGAGACGTAATAATGTCGAGATGGGGAGAGCGGCAGCGGCAGGCGGGGATTGGTATTTTTACTGCAGCGACGAAAATGCTGCTGCTGGCGGCTCCTTGCTTGGCTGGTTGCAGTGGGTTTGTGAGGACGGAGGTGGGCGGGGAGGCGATGGAGAAGGAGGTTTATTAGGCTGGTGTTGGGCATTATTAGCGGGCTAAGCCGGGGGCGGGCCACTGCATGTCTCTGCGTTTAGTGGATGGCCGTTAGTGGTGCTTTTACTTTGTAGTGCAATTTGGTGCTGTTTTGAAGAAACAACGCTATATTATAGTGGATGGAGCCATCTTTTAGCGGCAATGCGTTTTTGCTTTAGTGGACGATGGAGATACCTCAGCGGAAATGCCCTGTATTTTTGGTGGATGCGGCGGGCCGTTTCGTCATAGGAGCGCTGTATTATAGCGCCATCCTTGCATCTCTGGTTACCAAGATCCCCTGCAATCCCTATAACCCCCCCGGTCCTGGCACGCGACTTCGACACGACTCACTGTTCCGCACCGCGCCTCTTGTCTCGTCAATTTCAGCAATAAACAAAGGGAGCTCGAGGCAAAATTGAAGATGTTTACCGCCTCCTATCACTAATTCGATCCATGGCATCCGTACACACTAGGTCCATACAGACGGACAACCACCCTGTCAAGAAGCTCCAAGCCCTCTTACGATATCCCGCTCTCCTGCCTATTTAGTCGTTTCGTCGTAATTGTAATAAAAAGCTAATATTCAAAAGTGCATGCAATTGCACTAGCGTCGCCTGGTCGTGCCACTGGCACAAAAGTTTAAAGCCAAGCCCGTTCAGCCTACCCAGCCGAGTCATCGATCGCTGCAGGGTGCTTCCGTGGAAAGAAAAAAAGCATATCAAGAAGTGAATCAAGAGAAAAATACAAATGCCACATCGGCAGGGAAACAAGACCCCAAGATGCAACGCCGGGTAGCTGGCAAGCTGGCCAAGCGAGACTTGTTGCATCCCGTCTTGTCTCTGATCAGCCGCGACAGACGGGTAGAAAAGCCAAATCTCACTAAAACACCATCCTGGCACGCCTGGGACGACGGCCTGCAGGGGTTAGCCTCCCTGACACAAGCCATGGTCGGCAGTATTCGAGCCGCGGATCCGGGTAAGCAGGGCGGCCGAGGCGGCCGGGCTAGTAACAAACTTCAACTCAGGTCAACGAGTATGGATACGCTCTGAGGACGGCAAAGTCCGGTCGAGAGCGTCAGCTTAGCTTCACTTTGGCCTTCTAATCATGATGAAATACACACTTTTGTGCAGCAGATCACACCACAGACGCAGGCACGGTGCCGACACATGCATGCCGTGCCTGCAAAAAGCCACACACGTTGGATGAGTTACAGGAAGGCCTTGCGCAGCGCTAGCGAATGCGCCGTATCATTTGCTGCCTGCATGCATTTACGTACCTGTATCCTGCATGCCCCTGTGGCTTCTGACCGGTGCCTGCGCAAGCCCTGCGGGGTGCACTTATGCACGATCCGATGCACGGCGCTGAACCCCCCCTGCTCTGACTGGTTTGCAGAGCGACTTTTTAAAAAGTTTAGATGCAAAACGTGCAGGTTTGATGGTCAGATTACCTACTCCTCCGACGCGGTTGACCTCGCTTGCTGGGAAAAAGCAACGGCTGAGATACCGGCTGGTCTCAGCCTTTACTTATGTCCCCTTTAGGCAGTTGATTCTGGGAAGTTGTTGCGAGCTGCCAATTACTCCTCGCCGCCTGCTGTAACCTCTCGGCTTGCGTGGTGATGGGCTGTTATTAATGATTGCTCTGACTGCGTTACAATAATCTCGTCATGACTGACCTCATCCTCGTGGCTGACAGCCTGCAAAATATCGTTTGTCACAAAAACAAAGGTCGATGGGACGATTGTTAGTCAACACTACTTAGCTGCTGTTGTTCTCTCACAAAACAACCAAGAGTCCGTGCCGCTTGTTATTTATGACAGCTCGCATCTTTTGACTCGAGCATTCCAGCCGGCCCAAGTTCTAAAACAACAAGCGTCATGAAGTCGAGCCACAAGAAGAAACAACGTCATCCGGTTCTCGGGGAAACTGCTAATAATTGTTCGCTTTTTGCTGCATAAAAAGCAATGACGAGCCCTCTCCCCCAAACCCCCCCTGGTCCAGCACTGGGGTTTTCTGCAAGGGATCAGCCCGTGCTCATGCTGTGCGTAGCCAATTTCTTTTCCTGCCTACCTTACATACTACCTTGCCTGTGAGTAATAAATATTTCCGTTTCTCGTCCATTTATCGCGACATCTGGGTTCGCCACCGCCACCAGCGCACAGCCTTATTTGCTTCTTTTTATTGTTCTGGAGTAGAGGCACCAGGTTTGCTTTTGATTGCCTGCATCCATCCATGTCGCGTCTGTGAGCGCACGTGTGAGGGCTATGCACCAGTATCCAACCAAAGCGTCACTACGGATTATGCGTACTTTTGTAAAGAACTCTCGTCGACACACAACACCATTGTCGCCGGATAATCTCTCAAAATCCATCGAGTACTGCACATGCCCATGCCCATTTTTTGCTTCGACGTGACTACGAATAAAGATCTCACCCTGATCTCTCTGACAGGCCGGATAGACATCACCCGTGCCCCCAAATTAAATAGTTAATTAAACGACGACGAGTCGATGACTAGCCAGCCCCAGTCCCCTGTCAGGTTTCCAGCAGTTGCGATGGTCCTCGCGTGGCAGCCCTGAGTCCCGACGAATGGGAGGCTGGTCAGATTAAAAAATTGTGCTGTAAGCTCTGCTTACAAACGCAGCCTATTTATTCGTACAGTGTAGATTTTCGACCTGCATATGCGTTCGCGCCGTTACTATATCACCGGCGTAATCCGCATACCATGTTCATATGTATAAGGAGATGCACAGGCCCAAATAACAGTACCACAAATCCACCTGCGTTTAATTGCATACAAGCAACCGGCCACTGTTTCTTAATTCATCATTTATTATTAATCGCACTCCGCATACTTACTCCATACGTAACGTAGCCAGCCAGTCGCTTCATAGCCTCGGCGTTCCCGATTGTTTGGTTTGGCTCGCCATCGAGGCTCGGTCCAACTATCGACAAGGACATGCCTGACCGGGGCCTTTTGTTCTAGCTCGCTTCGAAGAAAAAACAAACCGATTGTAAGCAAAACAATTGTCAATACTGTCTGGGGGCGTGGATCCCGTCGCACCGGAATTGTTACACTGCGCCGGGTCGGGACTTGCTACCAGCGATGAGGTACCCGCGCAATGCGAGTCCATCTCGGCCCAGGACTGCGACATACGATGAGACTCGATACAAAAAGGTTGGCGGCTGGATTGTTTTGCCTCAGACTGTGATTTTGCGATTCCATATACCACATGCAGACGCATTGGTCATGTACTGCCGAGTCAGAAATCGCCGACCGACACACAGTCACAGTTTACAGATCAAGGTGCTTGATTTTGCAACAAATCATCCGAACTAATGCCAGGGAATAGATAGCCACCCATTTTCAGTTATATGCGATGTTTATCAATGCAATCTCGCATAGTGCCAAGACAAATGACTCAAGTAGTGTATGCCGAAATTATGCAGCCACCAACATCATCGCAACTCGTAAAAGACGGCGCGGCGCCATTTGCATATATACACAGACGGCCTTAATAACAAATCCCATCGGACATTGGAATCCCGTTATTTTCAGCTCCATCTGACAGCCACGTCTCCTCCCACAGCTTGTCCGAGTTGTGGTCCTGGTCGCTCGCGACAAGCTTCGTTTTCCTCACCCTATGACGGTGGTCGCACTGTATGGTTGACATCATTGAACCCACATGCAATTCATCGGCCAACTTTCCAAGGCATCTTTGAGACAGGCTGCATCCGTCGGGGACTTCTGATGACGGTACGACTGCGGCTTCCGCGGCTGCTGGTGACCATGGCTGACGGCGCAGCAACCATTGACCCGCGCACTGTGAGTACAGTGCAGCCAAAAAACAAGGAAAAAGTTGGGGTAGTGAAACAATGGGGACCTCGCAGAAAGTTGAGCCCGGAAAATGAGTTCAGTGTGACAATCTATTGATCTGGCCGAGTTGGTAAATATTCGCGTTGATAAATCATCACCGACGGTGTCAACCATCAACATGCACAGTTTCCACCCGAGAACAACAAGCTTGTGATTGCAAGATTACACGACGAGAAACGCGAATAAGCCTTGTGTGTGGCCTTATAGTTGTCCTCATAATCAGCTGCCATTTGACTTGTTCACTTGATGTAAACGCTTGATTTGATCATATCAAGTTCTCAATGAAGCAAGTGTCGTTTCTTTATGAGGAACTACCCTGCACGCAGGCTGGTTACTTTGATCTAATTTAGTCGGCTACCTCGTTGGACACCGCAAACACATGCATACATCAAAAGACACGGCCATCTCAAAGCCTACGTATCAGTCGCGGGCTCCCCCAGGTCAGTCCGGTTAAGCAAGATAACAATACAACGCCTATGGCAAACCCTAGTCAGCCCTGGACCCCATCTCCAAGACAGACCCTGAGGTGCACCTAACTTAGATGCGTGTCTCACCATGCGATGTCCACCGCAAAGTCACTTTCCAAGATGTGGCTGCCGATAAGTCATTTAATGCGCCTTGGGAGATTTTCTGTTTCTCAGTCGACCATCTTGCCTGCATGTCTCGGGAGCGCAAGACTTGTAGTTTAAGAGTTCAAAATTTGCGTTGTAACGTAATGCATTTGCCCTGCATGGAGAGATAAGAAGATGAGAGTGGTAGGTAAGAAAAAGGACAGGATCAGATAATCCAAGTGATCGAGTGATAAGAGACTCGGCCTTTGCGAGAAGAGAAGTCAAAGGCATGTAGCTTTTTCGAACCCGAGGGGTGCGCTTCATTTCGTCAATCGCGTGCCGCGTCACAATTGCGTCGAGATTTGTCTTGTGAACAACATCTTCCCTTGCATCTTCCGACTGAAACTTGGCTTAAAATTTCTAGTTACGAATTCACAATGATATCGGGTAGTCCTCACTGCATATGCGCAGCCGCGTCGGCCGCTGGCTGCGGCCTGCAGCTCAGCTCAGCCTTGCAGCGACACACACACACACACACACGCAAAATGCGAGCGACGTTCAAAACATGAAAAGTAAGGGCGGACACCACGAGCACAAGAAAAAAAAGAAAAAAAAACATACAGCAGCCGGTGTTCGCTGGTCGTCACCGACCCAACTACTAATCTGCCGGTCAGTAGCTTGATTTCCGCGGAGCAGACGGGACGCGATATTTTCTACTGCCTATGGCCGTATGTA